GATTGTGCTCAAATTTGGCACATCGCTAGAGACCGGTTAGTAGGATGCCGTGCACAAGTCAGCTGGAGGTACCCCGTCGAAATTTCGCACGTGCAAGGCTCACCCTCTCGCTCGCTCCGTTAGTCGCCCCAAAAGGCGTCATACTGGTTTATGTTTCTATGGAGAAAATCCGGTGAACAGTGAAGTGGCCACAATAGGTGGCTGGATTTATTATCTCAGGATTTATTAAGCGTATTCCACTGTATGTATACCACTGAACTCTATAATGTGGAATGCGCATCGGCCGCCAGATGGTGTCCAACGGTGCCGCCATGTTGCGCAGACCAGGAAGCGGCCGCCGCCTGTGTTGGGGAATAGGGAATTCGGGACCTCGATTTACGTTTGCGGTCGCTGCATCCGTTACGTTCAAGCTATGTGGACACGGAACCCGGCATCTTACGCAGAATTGAGTGGAGAACAAGATGAAATCCTAAAATATCCTCAGATACAAGGAACTAATACGTTAAACCCTTATAAGTCAATGGGGAAATATGAAAAATGCTATTTTGGCGCCGAGAATGATCTGAAACTATCTTAAGCATATATAATCATGATTTCATGCACTCCTTGCAAGGTTCTATGCTTCATATTTGCATTGTTGCCCTTGTGTGACGTCATTTGTGACGTCACAAGGGTCACAATTTTTTCTTCAATAACTTCCAATCAAAATGAGCTAGCGAGTCGGGAAAGCCACCAATGGACTCAGGAAGACCTGCCGAGTCGAATGATATGCGACATGACCTCTTTCGACCAACTTTGTGACCTGGGGGTGCTGACCTGACCTTGACCTGAGGTCAACACTCTAAGTTGACCTGACCCGAACAAAAAGTATATCACTCGATGCGCCTGAGCTAGCTGAACACGATGATGCCAAAATAGCGGCTCTACGGCCATTTTTGGCGAAGTTATTTACCAAAAACCGAACCCGTGCCTTAGATCACTTGACCTGACCTCAGAGGTCACCGGTTGACCTGAGACCTTTAAAGCGGGTTCCTACCAGTCACTGCATTATACTTTGCCGCATACGACCACTTTACCGCTTAATTCTAGTTAAATTAGTGGCGCATTTGCGAGGTGGGTTCAATCAACCCCCTCGGCCGGGGCAAATGGAGGTCCGGCGACTAAATTTGAGGAATTCTGAAGACACGATCGTGTTCCCCACTCAATTCTGCGTAAGATGCCGGGCTCCGTATCTACGTAACTTGATCGTAACGGATACGGCGGCCGCAAACGTAAATCGAGGTCCCGAATTCCCTATTTCTCAACACAGGCGGCAGCCGGTTCCTGGTCTGCGCAATATGGCCGCCACCGTTAGACACTACGGCCAATAGGGTTGAAGCGGCAGTGCTCCCCTGTGATGTATACCTACTATATTTTCATGCCGTTATAAGTCCTGCCCATAATATGTAGGAAGCGTTGCACTTGATAATACACATATACCGCAGACTGCAGCGTGACGCGTCCATTGATGGAGGCAGAAGAGCTGCAAGTCCCGCAATGTCGATGCGTCCGACTAGAGATGTCAATCGGATATCAACTACATGATACAACTACAACTAACAACTATGGTATACCGATACCAAACCGATACTTGGTACTTGGTATATCGAGGCTTATGCACTTGGTATTTTGTTGGTATTATGACTCCTCAGACCTCACATATGTATAAGAGGCTGTAAATTTGGTATTTCGCTGATAATCCCAAGTTGGTTCTGTTTCAGTTTTTTTTCATGGCTATTGTTGGCATTTGGTTTGGTATCGGTATCCCGATTTTCCGTAAATGACAACACTATCTCCGACACAGCGCGCTAAAATCAAGCATGGGCGTAAGTATGTACCTTTGATGGTGACCAACACCATAGACAAGGTCACTTGACTAGGTCAGTCTAGACTATAGGCCTATGTGGTGACGTACTTGAGCCAGACGATGTCGCCGGCTGCCTGGGGCGGTGTCACGTGACAGGTCAGCTGAGTGGGCTGTTCGGCGGTCACCAGCAGCTGACTGGGCTCGATGACTGCGCGGCGTGTCACTGTCACCTGTGTCATATGGGGACACACCGACACACAGCTCAGACGAGCGTTACACCGAGTCACGGGGGAGAGAGAGAGAGAGAGAGAGAGAGAGAGAGAGAGAGAGAGAGAGAGAGAGAGAGAGAGAGAGAGAGAGAGAGAGAGAGCAGAGACAGAGAGACAGAGAGACAGAGAGAGAGAGAGAGAGAGAGAGAGAGAGAGAGAGAGAGAGAGAGAGAGAGAGAGAGAGAGAGAGAGAGAGAGAGAGAGAGAGAGAGAGAGAGAGAGAGAGAGAGAGAGAGAGAGAGAGAGAGAGAGAGAGAGAGAGAGAGAGAGAGAGAGAGAGAGAGAGAGAGAGAGAGAGAGAGAGAGAGAGAGAGAGAGAGACCGAAGTGAAGGGCACATCGTTAAAATATTTAGCACCATAATCACGCAGATATTCCATATGCCATGGTGTTTAGCATATTGACACTGAAAGATTCCATTTTCGTTGCATTTTTCGTCGCATATCCCTGCTGATTAGCGTTGCAGCCCCCGAGGCCATAACTCGTATCCGTAGTGCGGACGGCGGGCTCAGTTGTGTCTCGCTGGGCCCCGCTCGGCCGTCTCTCGCCGTCGGCCGATATTCAGTGCCAGGCCGTGCAGGAGGTGCACACTGCTCAGCCCCACTCAGGCCGTAGTCATCCCCATTGGGCCCTGCGTGCACGGTTCCTGGCGGGTGGCAGAGCCAAATGACGTCACCGAGGGTGCACTTTGGTCCTGGCTCGTAGCGTCATAAATTGATGTTTCTTGAAATAAAAATTAACTTAATAGCAAAAACAATCATCCATTCCATACTCCACTTACTTAAGGCATTATTAACATTCAGATGACACTTCAGAATAAAAATGCATTTTACTTCTTGCAGTGAATTAGTTGGGTGGTTCTTAGTTTTGCTGTTTTTAAGGACATTTTTAAGGGAAGATTCGTTTCTGGCGCAATGTTTCAAACAAAATTTGAAAAGCTTCGTGCGTGTTCCGTATAATCTCATGATATGCATAGGCAGTTTGCTTGGGGTTTGGATTGAATTGTACTTTTTATTGCATAAAAATCACATGAACTGGCTGTTTAACTCATATTTCCGATACCAACAGTAGCGGAGGGATATTCACCTTAGGTTTTTGGCGCACAAGATTGTCTAGTTGACTCACTTACAGCTTGAGCTAGGGGAGGCCTTGAGAGTGAAACAGGTTACATGAGGCAAAGCCAGTGGCGCGGGAACCGGGTTGGAAACGGGGGGCTAGTGGGGCTGAGCCCCCAGCTTTTCGGCTGGGGGGGCTCGTAATGTATTTGAGCCCCCCCAGCTGGAGGAATCGAAATCGGAAATCTACCAACATAATTTCATAGATTCATACATAGGCGCGGGAACTGGGGGAGGGGGCAGTGGGGGGAAGCTTGCCCCCACAGCTCTGCGGCCGTGGGGGCGGTGCCCCACAACGTTTCATGAGGCCAGGAACCGTTGGGCAGCTTGTCCTCCCCAAATTAGGGGTTGTGGGTCGCAAAGTGAGTAAAGTGAAAGTGAGTAAAGCATGTAAGTGAAAAATCCACCTATTTCACTGGCTCGGCAACTCATTTGGCAGATTAAAACCTTTACTCCAGGTTGCCAAAACGGTAGTTTCTTCACTCAGCTGAGACGGAATACCTCACTTTTTGAAAATATTTTCTTTTTTTTTTTGTTGTTGAAAAGGCCAAGGTCTGAAAAATAAGTGGCCTAAAACCGGTGACAAAACTAGATTTGGGGGTACCCTAGGTTGATTTCTATTATGGTTCAGCCCCCCCCCCCCCCCCCAGTCTGGAAGAAGTTCCCGCGCCACTGGGCAAAGCTTGTGAAAAGTTTTGTAATTTTGGGAAGCTTCGCTGAGTTTGCCCACATGAACCTGATCAATTTTTTTCTGAGTGTACATCTATTTTTTATCACACACCTTTAGGTATTGATCATGATATGCACTATGTAGAGAATTTTACGTCTGAACGTGTCGTGTACCTACAACAGCAATCCTTTTCCTTAGACCCCTTTGGTTGGTAGTTGGGCCTGCGAAAGTATGAGCCTGCGATAAGTTATTGTATTCAATTTTTTTTTTCAGCTTGCCTCGCCTCATTGATGTTCTCTCATCAATGACTGACATCTTATTTAGTCTGTAATAGGTTCACAAGTTTTTTATTGCAATGCCAATTAATCATTTTCTTTTTCAGATACTGAGTGAATCAGAAGTGTGAAGACTGCTGAAGATGTTTGTGCGATATCAACTTGCAGATCATGGTTTGGCAGATCCAAGAAAAAATGATAAGAAGTCGAGCTTTTTTAAATTTCCAATAGACAAAAACATGAGGACAACTTGGATTTCTAAATGTAAGAGGTCTGATCCTTTCGACCCCTCCAAAACCTTCGTGTGTTCTGAGCACTTTTCCTCTGAAGATCTTGATCCGACCTACCTGACAAAGCTGCGGCTGATGCCAGAAGCTAAGCACCAGCCATCCTTGAAGCCTGACGCCATTCCACCCAGGAACCTACCATCCTGCAATGACACCTCAGCCTGGTATGGACTATTATTCCTTTTTCCCTCAGTTTTCCATTTTCTCCCAACCTGCATTCCATATTTGTCTATATTTGCCACTCCACGGTAACTTCCACTGGTCTTAAATTTAACTGTTAATCAATCATTCAGCCTTTATCGCTTAAGATATTATTCAGTGACTATAACATATTTTCGAAATTTTATTCAACTTTCCAATACAATTTGAGCTAAGCACTTTTCACATTCTTTCTCTTAGCAAATATTATGCTGTTTTCAAAACGATGTTGACATTAATGGTCATACTCAATTAAAATTGACTTAAGTTTTAAGTGCCAACAAGCTGTAACATCCTGACATGAGATATTTCTGATGTTTTCTTGAATGCCTTCAGCAGTGGCACAGCCAAGGAGGAAAGGTTGAAGAGAAGGAGCTCAGTCAAGCAGGTTCAAGATCTCTTGGTGGAACAAGAATCACCAGCTTCTCAGTTCGCAGAAGCTCCAGGAGAGTCTGCACCTGATGGAGACCGAAAGTAAGCATTTTAACCCGCGACCGCCTGGGGGGGGGGGTCGGATCCGACCCCCCTCCGTTTTTCTTGAATAACTCATGAACCACTCTCGCTATCTACTTGAAACTTGGCATACCTTCTCCCCCATCAATTTGACGTCTCCTGTGCAATTTTTAAGAAAAAATTTCCAAATTTTTTTTAGATATATCGATTTTAGTGATGTAACTACATGGCGTTTTTAGTCAAAAAGTGGTAAATGTTTAAAAAATCGCCAAAAATCAGGGTTTAAAGCAAATTGCAAATTAAGGACATGAAAAGACGCAGCTCAACGAGTTCTTTAAAATGGCTATCTCGGATTTTCCATAAAATGCGTTTTTCACCCCTAAAAATTCAAAAAACTATATTTTTGGGAAAACAGCTAATAAAATCCAAAATTTTGGGAATTTCCAAAAAACCGGAGTATATGTTGTAGAGCTCTATTAGAACATTAGATGCCCCAAATTTCAACTTTCTATCTTGATTTTTGACCCCCAAATTGTAAAAAATAGCTCCAACATGTATAGGGCATGGTGACGTCATAAGCATTTTCGTGAATTAGAGGTACTTCTGAACATCGCATGTGAAAACAAATGGCACCACTAGATTCCTGGGACAAAGCTCGTCTAGAAAAGTGCATTTTTATGTCAAAAATAAAAAGTTGAAAAATTGACCTTTTTTCTCAGCCCTCGTATAGTATAAACGATTTTTTATGCTTTCAATGCACACTTATCACCAGCACAGTGACTTGGGGTCACATATAACCATTACCATCGGATTCGGCGTGAAAAATAAGCCATAAAACATGTGTCGCACGCCCATGTAGCAGAAATTGAAAACCGTGACCTTTCGTGACCTGACCTGACCTTGACCCGTACTTAGTATGACCCCTATACACATATGGTACCTTCACTAGGCCTTTGAGGTCATTTTTGGTGAGTTTCGAGCAGCAGCTATCGATTCCGCTGTCCGTAAGCCTAATCATGCAAAACCCCTGAATTTGACCTTTGACCTGACCTTGACCCGAAAGTTGACCTCAATCTTAAAATCTTAAGAGTGCTTTGGGAAGGTCTCGTAGAGACCTTTCGAACGCCGCCTCGCGGGGCTCGATACGACCATTGGTTCTCGAGATAACAGGGGGGGGGGTCGGATCCGACCCCCCCCCCCCAGGCTGTCGTGGGTACGGAAATAGCCCAGGCGGTGCCGGGTTAAAGTTGTGAAACATTTAGGGGAGACCCGGGAGGTATGGGCCCCCTGGAGGTATGGGCTATCGCAGTTTTGAAGAAGTGTTGCGTATTTTTACACATTTGACGGCGTTAACTGGTAGCAGCCATTCCGTTATACAACCCAAGTGATTTTCAAAATCTTCCTGAGTCTTCTTTGGCAATGAGCGGTGATAAAGCGTTTTTGCCCCTTCGAGTAAAATACGGTACATACAGGAAATTCGTGATAAATTTGAACCAGGCTCGTTTTATGATGTCAGACCATCGCCAACATAAAGTTTAAAGCATGAAAATTATGACTGGATAGACAATTTGAAGCTTTCTTGCAAGATTATGAGACGGAATGCTACGCACATTCTGGCGTCCTAACCGGGAGGTTCGGGCCACCCACCCCGTTGATCCTAAATAAATAAAAAGATGCTTTCATTGAATGTCCCCGTCAATAACTTTTATTTTTGTCACGCAAAGTCGAAAATTTAACTTCAAATTTCATTCGAACAGAACAATATTATTGATCTTATTTCATGGTGCACGATTGAGTTCACCAAAATACATATGGGCTCAAGTGACCTCCATGAAGTAAGCTGTTGGCCGCTTATGCGGTTCCCGGGCTCTAAGAGAGATCAAGGTTACGAGTATTACGAGGGCAGCGCTTTTCGAGGAGCGCTGTGGCCCGAAGGTTTGAACTTTGCATTGTGACGCACGCCCGAAACGCCAACGCAAAGGTCGCAAAAAATAAACAAACGCCCGCCCGCCGCAAACCGCAAACAAAAAAAAACGCAAAAACGCCGCAAAACATTAACCAGTAAAACGCCTTTTGGGCGACGAACGGAGCGAGCGAGAGGATGGGCCTTGCACGTGCGAAATTGCGAGGGGGTACCTCCAACTAACTTGTGCACTGCACCCTACTAACCGGTCTTTAGCGATGTGCCAAATTTCAGCGCAATCGGCCTAGCCGTTCTCGAGATCTGGAAGCGGCACACTGCACGTGCGCACGTGCAAGCGGGGTCCAAACTGACTTTTGCATGGCACCCTACTAACTGGTCCCCAACCGTGTATCAAATTTGAGCGCAATCGGCCCAGCCGTTCTCGAGATCTGGGAGCGCCCCCTGCACGTGCGCACGTGCTGTAGCACCCCAACCTTAACACATGCAGATGAATTATCTGATGGAGACCTAACTGTGTACCGAGTTTCAATTCAATCGGCCCAACCGTTGTGCCGTTATTGAGGTTGCAATTTTGGGGGTTCTTAAAAAATGTCCAACTTTACCACGCGCCACGTGCGGTGGTTGGCAAGAACGCATGGTGGCTATCACACCACAGAACTTTTACGTCCAAGTGACATTCAGTAAAGAAGACCGCTTGTCAATCGGATGTCCCGTTCCTAAGATATTAGCTTTTAAAGAGCGTCCCCACGGCCGGCCGGCCGGCCGGCCGCTCATACTCAGGATTTTCCCTTAATTCAGTATGAGACTCCGCTCGCTTCGCTCGCTCCGTAATAAGAGAGATCAAGGTTACGAGTATTATTGTAGATAGTAGATACCAGCTACGAGTATTATTCTCATTGTTGAGAAAAGAATATGAAACATGGCACCGGCCCATACCTCCCGGGCCATGGCCCATACCTCCCGGTGTATTTTGACGAATCGAAAAAGCAATGATTTATTGAAAATTATCTTGAGACAAAATAGTTGATCCCAGATGCCTAATATCAGGCACGTTACAGGCGAAAGGCAATTTCACGTACACAAGAGTGAAAAACCGGTTCTAGCCACTGCCCACTGGAAGAAAATTGCCTTTTCACAAAACCGGCCCATACCTCCCGGGTCTCCCCTACAAGAATTAGCACATTTAAAAGGATAATGAATTATTGATTCAACATTGCAGTTTAACAGTACCCTTTATCCAGTATGCTCTGGTTGAATGTAGTAAAGAAAAGCAATCATCTTTCCGCTTCCGCCTACTGTCAACAGACAGCTTGTCAAACATGGTTGTCTTTAAGCTGCTTCCAGCAGAGTTTTCAGTCAATATGGTTGCTGTTGGTCTCAAGGCACTGTTTGTCTCTAGTAGTTTTTATAATTCGCAAATACATTGCTAAGGGTTGAATGCCAACTCCAAAAAATATGCATTGTTATTAGATAAGATATCACAGTGTTTTACAGGGTTTTGTCACAGTCTTTTGTGTAGATGCAAGCAACTTTGCACTTTGTAGTTATGTTCTTGAAAATACTTCGTATTGATTTTTTCCACAAGATGTCTGCAGACCGCCAGCAGATCCAGAAGCTGAAGAAGGAACTTCGCAGACTGCAGGCGAGACATCGCGCTCATCGGATTAAGTGGCGCCGTGAAACGGCACATCTCCGGCGTGAGGTGTCGAAGCTGCGCCGGATGCTCAGCCTGGCCTCAGCGCCCCAGTAAGTCCTCAGCAATCAACAGTTGCAGCGATTGGCTACTGGGCGCCGCATCCGCTGGAAAGCGGAAGATGTGGCCAAGGCTGTCGACCTCTGCTCCATCAGCCGCAAGGCCTACACCTACGCCCAGCACGTGCTGAACATCCCGCTGCCGTCGAACAGCACCCTGGCCCGCTGGACTCGGAGCTTCCAGATTGGCTTCGGCGTCATCGATGCCGCGGTGTGCGTGCTTCGCCCGGCGGTGGAGGCGATGACTGGCCTCGAGCGGATCTCCTGCATCTGTTTTGACGAGATGGCCCTGGATAGCATGCCTTCCTACGACCAGAGTGCGGACAGGATCCTCGCCGGCTCCAAGCTCCAGCTGATGGTGGTGCGTGGGCTGTGCTCCCCATGGAAACAGCCCATCTTTCATGAACGGGACGCACCCATGACCATGGCGAAGCTGAGCGCCGTCGTGCGCACTCTGAAGGAGCTCGGGCTGGACATCAGAGCGGTCACAAGCGACATGGGACCCAACAATGAGTCGCTCTGGAGGGACGCTGGTGTAGACCGGGAGAGAACCTGGATCTCTCATCCCGCCGATCCCACCAAGTGAGTCTGCCTACCTTGTTTAAATTTTATTTGGATTATAGGTAGCGTATAACCCAAAACTAAAATTAATAGATAGTTGTGCTATTTTACTGTTCTCGCTTACCAACTTTTTATTGATTATCTATGGATATGTTATGCAAGGTGACTTGCGATTCTAATATTCATTTCATAATATTCTCATATCCTATTATTGAATACAATTACCATTGTAACTAATTTTCAACAGTTACGCCACTTTGTAACTAAAACTTGAACTTAATGCTTGCATTATTGAGTACCTCATCCTCAGCGCACTTCACTCTCAAATTGCATAATGACTGGCCTGTACATTAGTCAATGTCCTTTCATAATTATAGAATTGAAATTGTATATCAATACAACCATTAATTTTATTTGAGGAAGCTGTGGGTCTTCGCCGACGTGCCCCATCTGGTGAAATTGATTCGCCACCACGTGGTAAAGGAGGGAGGCGGACTGCTCATACCACTGACGGCAATGGCGGCGAGATCTGCCTGGACGCGTCGCCCTTCCAGCAGCTACGGGCGGTGGACGGTGCTGAGAAGAAGATCTGCCCCAGACTAACTGATCTCTGCATCGAGGGTCGTATGGCACTTTTTGTGCTCACTTTGGACATTAATTTTGCTTTGACCCCTTTTAGATTTATCTAGAGTTCATGGTAGCAAGCGCCATTTGTTCTGGTAAGGCAACTAACGTTAGTTTTATTAAGCAGACACGTAGTTCTCTTCA